TGTGAAAGTCAAGCCAGCAAATCCAGAAAATAGAGCGAGTGTCCTTTGTGGACTGAATTGATGGGAGTAAAGCACAGCATGTGGAAATGACAAAGAGTTTTCGTGAATTGCTTCTGCCTGGAGGCACGGATGGAGCCCTCAAGTATAGTAGCGAAAAGCGAAAAGACATTCTCCTGTTTATCAAAATTTGCATCTTGCTACATAACGCAAGAAACGTATCAGGCTGTTGATGGATGCCATGGCAACAATATTACTAGAGTTGCGGTGCAGCCTTTTCCGAGCCAGGAAACAGGATGAAATCAGAAGCTCGTTGCCTATCTGTGGGCAGAAGGACTTCTGCTGCAGACCCAAAGACAGATTGTCCTTCTCCCTGTTCCCTGCCGGTTCGTTACAGCTGCCACCACATTTAGACTTTCACCTTAAACTGCCATTTTCCAGAGCTGGTGAATAAAAGACAAGAACTGCTACCGTTAAAAGGACAGAAATTAAATATGACTCAGAGATCCATAATATTTGCATCATTGAAATGAGATGAACAATACAGAAAGGCTGAAACAACTATAATGATTAGTGAAGATTAGTGAACCTATGTTTTAAAAGTCATATTTACTTGAAAGGTATTCATGTAGAGATTGTTGTCGGTGATAACAATCAAATTCCAGTGCTCCTTTTTGCTGGCCCCGCTTTTGTGCTGGGCTAGGTAACAAATTTCAGCACACTAGGCCTGAGAGGGAGTGCTCTACCTTTGCTGTGATCCACAGAACACCTGCAATTCTTCATTTATTGAATTATTGAGCACTGTCATGCCAGCAATGAGGAAGTGAAACTGATGCCTCGTTCTAACAAGTTTATTTGCTCTGAGATTTGTGTCGAAGAAAAGGACATCTTAGGATAAAGAAGTGGTAATATAAAGTATTATCTATTGCAGCGGCCAAGAACAAAACTAGTATTAGAGGCAAATCTTAGTTCTGGATACTACAATTATGTTCTCCTGAGCTGCTGCCCAGTGCCACTTCTTCAGACCTCTGTATATAGAGCATTACTAAACCCTTGTCTCCACAGAAACACGGTCAGACTGTCTGAGGCAGACTTCCCTTCCCTAATTCCAAGGGCTCGTTTATTCGGGGGTTGATTTACTAATGATCAGTTGCTTGCAATATACTCCTGTCCCCCTTTCCTAGTCACTTCTGAAGCCATAGGCCAACCTGAAAGCCAGGGGGAACAGTTCTGGGTGCTTTTTGGGAATGAATGGGGAGGTTGTTGGGATCTTTATGATAATCCTGTGGGGTTAAGTCTCAAACATGTTTTTAGACATGAGCAAATTGAAGCAGGAGTGAACTGCGGGTCCTCAGGGTTCACAAAATCTGGTGCTTGTTTAACGGTTTGTTTTTCCAAGCCTTCAGTGTTCCCATTCTGAGTTGCTTCACAGAAGACCTTGTTTCATTTTTGCTCAGATGGCACTCGTTTATTTCATGTTCACACAAAGAGCCTTATTGACCCTTGCAACACCCATCTTCTGCCTTCCTGTTTCTTGATCTCATTTTAGGTCTGTTCAAACATCTGGTGTTTAACATCAACCTTGGGCCAACGAAGTTTGTTATATGATTACATTTGTAAAGCCTTCTCACAGTGTGTCCTTACTGATTGCAGGATACACAACAATGACCCGAGCTTGTGTTCCAGACGGGCTCGGGGTCTGGCAAGAATCACGCAGAACGAGGTGACTACATGGAGCATTTATTCAGGTGAAAGCACATCCTCGAGCTGGCAGCGCAGAGAGGGAGTTGCTGACTGGCCCCCACACAGACAGCGCAGGCCTCAGAGTGAGGAGTTTCTCCTCAGTCCCGCTCTCTCCGCACTGTCCTCCCTATGCCCAATGCATCCGGGCACGTAGGGTCAGTCCGACCCAGCAGGCAGGCCGGGGCGGACACACTCCACCTTCAGGTGGGCAACTCTCCCCCGAGGCGCGCACACCAGTGGGGGGTCCCAGCCCTCAATTTGAGGGTCCTGCCTTCCTCCTCTTCCTCCTCCTTCCCGGGGGTTTGGCCTCCAAAGCTAGTTTGGAGGACGTCTGCGGTTAAGTTGGCTACAAGCCCGGCCGAGCGGCCGCCTTCAACCGGGTTTTGGAGGGGGCTGCCTGTGAACCGGGCTGAGCCGCTGCATCCGTGCTCCTTATCGCTCAGCCTAGGCAGGCAAACATCTTGCTCAAGGTCTGGCCTCTGCTTCCCATGGGAGATTTTTACAACTACAGATCGCAGAAATTTCCATCTCCAATACAGCTTGTCACCCCTTCTGTATGTGGATATCCTTCGGATGAGCAGGACAATACAAAAAGTGAATAGTATATGGATTATCCTCAAGGGAAAAAATACCAAATAAGCCAGTTCCACCATTGCATTTTACTGCCTTGTAACGAGAGAACATTTATGAATCAAAAAATGTCCTATGGTAGCATGCGAAAAAACAGGAGTCATAAAAGACAATATGGGTTCCTTTATGATTAGCAGGATGGATGGTTAAGTTTAATGATTTGTATGAATGATCTATATGGGTCTGCTGTTCAGAATTCCTTGTGGCCCAGAAATAAAACAGGCTATCTTCATATCTAGCCAAATACGTAGTTGCTCTGTGCAGCTGAATCTGCAGTCTTTAAGTCATGGCTAAATAATTACATCTAAGCACTGTATTTGCATTCTCTTCTTTAACCAGCCCTCAATTCATTGAATATCCTCCCATCCCTCAGCAATCCAGTTTTCTTAATAAATGATCTGTTTTCACTTTACACCCTGATGACAATCTCGTCCTTGCTACAGATGGGAAACACTCATGAAATTCCTTTAGTGAGTCAAGACCCACAGTGAATGTCTGGGTGCCACCCATTAACCAAGTATAGCCACAGGCAGTCCGAGTCATATCCAGCCTGCAGATCCCCCCTTGTTGAGTCTCTAGCCCTGGGGTTTACAAAGTGTTCCAAGTTTTTGCAGGAGGCAAAAACTTACCATGTTATCCTGAGGCTGTAGGCAGACTGCAAACAGATATAGAAAAGCGCAGCTTGTATCCCCTGCTAGCTGCACTGGCAGGTAGGCTAAAAATACCTGTTTAGCATCCATTTCGCTCAGAGATTGGAGATTATTTCTGCAGAAATAAAGATTTAAGAAACACAGCTCTGCAGCATCACTGGCAGCAGCAACATAACACTTGGTACTATTAATTAGTGTGTGTAACAAATTCTTAAGATAGCATGTAGCAAGATATTTTGATAAGCAGGGTGATCATTACGGCAGACTGCTACATTTCCATAGCACTTGTACAAGTTTCTGTCTATTAATAAGGTGTTTTTTAGAAAAACAAAAACGTGCTCAATTTAGCGACCCCAAGAGAGAGCTACCGGTGAGCTGCAGCTTGGCCTGCAGGACTTCGGCATTAAAAACAGCACCAAATCCTGTGTCAAAGACAGCTCTGTGCATCTCCCCACTCTCCAGCACAGATGAACTATCCTGTTCTCATCACTATCATGCACCTCATGCACGGAGGGCTGCAAACAGGTCGGCCACCCTGCACGGAACAGCAGAGTTATTGCCTGCTTTTCAGCTGACTGTTCTTTTCCCACAGAGAGGACACAACCACCTCCACATCAAGGCAGGCACCACTCTCCTTGAGTTGCTTTGCAATTGCATGAAATCTGAAATCTGTTTTTCTGCACTTGCTGCGTTTCAGACAGACCAAACTGCTGAACTGCCCTTGTGCTTGTTCATGACAGGCCTGCTATGACTGAAAATGCTTCAGAGCACAATTTCCTTCCTAACTGAGCACTGTTCTCAATCGACATGTTCTGCAAGGGGGTGGGAGTATTTTAAACCCATCGTTTCTTGTCACCTTAATCTTTTTATCTCATCATTGCAATACCCTATCCATGCATCCACGCGACTTTAGAAAGACAAAGAACATCATTCTTGGAGCTCGTCAAGCAAAGCAAGGGCTCCACCGCTTGGCAACACACAGTCTCTGTAGGAAGTGTTGCTTTTTCCCTTCATGCTGACTTGGCTGTGGTTATGGTACAGCAAAATTGTGATTGAAGCTTTCACTATACCTCAGAAACAAGCTGGTTCTTGCTTGCAAATGCTCTTACAAAGAACTCCAGAAACTCCCGTACAACAAATGGGTTATCAGGAACAGGAAGGATACACCCGTTCTCTCTTCTTCAGCTCAAAGGCCCAAACGTGTTCTGAGCTTTTTGGCTTCAGCCAACAGAATCAGTTCCACAAATGCCATTGTTTCATCTTCAACTACACAGGAGATTAGTGCAGGTGCATCCCATCACACAATGAACAAACTCTGGTACTGTCCCATCTCTCTAATATTCACTGTGGAAACAGTAGTATCAGAAACAGAGACCAAGAGTCTGTTTATAAAAGATATGCAAGGCCTGTAGCTACAAGAATACAAGTCTCAAAATCTATTCTAGTTGGAATGGATCAAAAGATTCAGAAGAAAAACCTTACAACTAAGGAACCATTCTAGTCCCAATTTCCGAAAACCGGTAGATTTATTTCTTCAGAGGCTTGTCACAACTTTAGAATGTAATACTCATATCCTTGCAGATAGATACATTATTTACTGCTTTTTGGTCTAGAGGTCTTCATAGAGACTAACGCGGTGGGTAACGGAGAGGATGTGTGGGAAATCCTAGTGCAGGCGTAGGGCAGGTTACAGCAGCACTTGAAACTCGCTTCCCTTCCCTGACCCAGCTCCAGTAAAGCTTCACTTGAGGAATGAGCAAGGGGGAAATTCATAAAACAAAGTAATTTGCAACAGTGATTAAATGCCAGGGGTTATTAAGCTAGTAATTACTTTCATCACTAAAAACCACCACCACCACCAGCCACATAACACTTGCAGGTGTGCGGTTGTGTATAAAGCTGCTTATATTTTCCATTAAAAACCTACGTGAAGTAAACAGTGCAAAAAAAAAGCAAAACAGAAGGCTCAAAATTGTTAGTTTAATTATTACTCTGCACATTCACTTCAGAAAAAGGGAAAGCACTTCTTGAATAAATTTTTCCCTTTAGAAACTCAACTGCATCTTCATTTGTCATTTCCTGAAACTTCTTGTTCATGACCTGCAGGAAAGGAAAAGGAGAGGGTACATTAGTTTGTTTTGTTTTCATTCACTGATAATAACAGTAATTTGCAGCTTGTCTTCTGCAGTTCCTCTGCTCTTTATGACAGAATATCGTGACACCACCACTCTACGCTGTGAGATCACCTACAAGTAATCAGTTATTCTGGAGTATCTTATCACTCCCTACAGTGCCTGTTCTTTTACTGCACAAGCAGTCATCACCACACTGATTAGCAGGGCATAAACGAAGGGAATGCCAGGGCTGCTCTTACCACAATCACTTCATAACCCAGCTTAGTGAGGTGCCGCTTCTTCACTGCCAGCTTCCCTTGGGGGTGCGTCGTACCCATGCAGAATGCAGAGAGAGGAACAAAGAGAAAAGCCAACCTGCAGCCAGAAAGAGCAGGGAAAACTTCCTTTTATCAATGCAGGGTAAGCATTTTTAATAGTTAATAGTTCAGAGATGTTTTTTAATGCTGCAGAACATATCTGTCTTACTAGAGGCAAAAATACCAGTACTGCACAAAATTACTTTATTCTTTTGCTTCTTCGAATGATTTTAACACGTTCCTTCTATCAGTTTCACATAAGTACAGGCATCTACCCAAACAACTCTTGTGGCAGAATTAAATCCTTTGACCTCCAATTCTCCCCTAATGAAAAAGAAATAGATCTTTCAAAACTGAACATTATTTGACAGTTTTTCATTCATATAAGGCTTTTCATTGAAACTGTATTCCAGCAGAATTCACTGCTACAACCTACCATTGAGATGAACAATTTGAAGACTTATGAAAATAACTGATTGTTGACTGGATACACAAATATGCTTGGAATTTTAGAATTATATTATTCAGTGTGCTGAAAGACATCTGAATTAAACTTTGAAAATCTGTATCCATTACAATAGGTCGAGATTATCCCTCCTGTGAGGTTTCCAATCTCTTTGTCTGAAGCGTAAATTCTAGACTCTGATAGAAGGCAGTGAGCTAGGTGAGTAGTTATTCTGAAGCAGCATGAGAAATTCTGTTTCTGTGAGCACAAATACCATATCATTATCTACTGTGTTTCTGCAAAGCACTGAACCAAAGAAACAACTACATGGAATAGGTACAAATAAAATTAGCTTGCTAGAAAAAGTATGCAATCCAAACAAGACACCTTTCCACACTGGAGTCAGCATGATCATCTGTTGCAGTTCTTGGGAGCACTTTCTTTCTCTCTGAATCAACTCGAATTTCAAAATCTGAAAACAAAACAATAAAATACTAATCAGTGCAAGAGGTTACAACTAATATTCTATCCAGCTAATTTGAAAAATGAGTAGATATCGTTGCTACTGTGTTTCCAATTCTTATTTTTGAAAAAATTACATATTACTGATGGCTTCTTGCGACCAATATAAACAGCTATAGCTTGTGCATCTCTAGAAAAAAAAATGTAGATCTAAAAAGGTTTTAATAAATATATATATAGTCTATAGTTTAAATAAGTCTTGACCTTAGTCTATCATACTTGTTCAGGCTTTCCTGTAAACCGATCCCTAATTTTAGGTTACAGTAAGTATCCTAAAAAATACCGGCAAGCTGGGTGGCTGGCAAAAGAATATGAAAGAAAGGAAATGTTATAAAATTATCTCCTATCAAAGATGATCATATCCATTTCATAAACTAAGCCCTTATCTAGAGTTTTAGAGGAAAATTAAGTCAGAAACAAAAAGGTGGTGGTGGGTTTGTTTGTTTGTTTGTTTTTTCGCTTTTGATGTGAATTAGTACGTGGAGGGCAACTCTAAAATGGTTGGCCATGCTGGATTTATGCACAATTACAATCTGCTCTCCGATGCTTTCCACAAAAGGCTAAGGCAGTTCTGTAAAGAAGTGCATCATAATGCTTTAGTACATTTACTTAAATACTTTAACAGAAAGATCCTAGAAAATTCACCAATCAGGCACTTCATTTGTCACAGATAACGTCTTTGGAGTTTTACATTTTTAATCACCTGTATCTGTGCACATTTGTTGCTGTCTTCATATTTTAGGAATTACAGATCTACATTCAAAGGAGTATAGCAGTAACTTGGCTTCGTACCAATGTGGTATTTATGCAGCAGCTGAACATTTTCTCGAAACATGTTCTCATCTCCCAGCAGTTCTAGAAGGGCCTCCCGAGCCTTTCTGCGCTTATCAGGTGCTAAGGAGGAGCAGTCCTCAGCCAGCTCAAGCTCAGGCTTTGTGAAGGTGGGGCTATCAAGTTCCACACATGCTTTCACACACTGAAGCATCATTTCCTTTTGATCCTTGTAAAGATCACCTGAAAAAAAGATATAAAACAAATTATGTATTATCTCACTGAATTCTTCATTTTATTATCATTTGCAGTCTGTTCTTGCAGAGCAAATTAATTTCAGTAGAAGAATCAAAACACTTTTTTTTTTTTTTAAACAGAATAACTTCAGTATATTTTCTGATATATCTGATTCATTCATGAAAATTTTGAAGTCTATAGCTGGAACCTGTTCATTCAACCAGTCTTTCCCCTCTTCTGTACACATCTCTGTACATGCTATCAGTTATAAACAAGACTTCAAGAGAACACTGAATGAGAAAGCAAATATAGTGTTCTTCAAAAATCCAGACAAATAAAAGGCCATTTTGAAGCAAAGAAGATATATCACAGTTTGGCCAGAAAGTCAGCACAGCTTTCAGGTTCAGTAAAAGCTGGTTCAACAGTAAGACACAGAACAGTGAATTCCTCCTCTGCTAAACTATTGTTTCCTGTAGGAAATCATAATGCAGAAGCCAAATTCCTCTACAAATTATTGTGAGTTCCTCATTATAACTCAAAGTAATCAATGAAACTTCTACCTATGACTTACAAGTATTAATACTTGTTTACAAACATTAGACTTCCTCTGTTTTTTAAAAATGCCCAAACATGTCAGAATATTTAAAAAATTCCTGCATGTTGAAGACAAAATCTTGGTTCTTACCCATTTCAACCACTACTACAAATCCCACATTTACTCTTATCCATGTGCAAGCTACTGTTTAAAATATGGACACCTTGTGGCTCATCAACAAGCTTGATGACCAGCTCAGAATCAAAGAACATAGTGTGTCACTTAAATCACCTACATAAAACTAGCTTTTTCCTGAGGACTTCACATTTAATATCAATCATTTTTGCCTTCTGTAATTTGTAAACTTTAACACAGTAACAACGAATTTTGAGTGAGGAGTAAGCTTTTAAAAAGAGAATGTGACATAGTAAGGCCTGACCTGACTGTAGTTCATCAAGGTTTTCCTTTTGCAGCAGCTGATCAAGCGCAGGATGAGGAAGATACCCTAAGATGCAAAGTGAATACACTGCTTTCAGCAGTTCCGTGCTGGAAATACTGGGGAGGTACTTATTCAAGCAGCTATGAAGAGTCTCAATAAACCTTTGCAAAAGAAAAAGGGAAAATGTCAATTACACAAATAAGAACTATAGAAAATATGGATTTCAAGCCAAAAATCACAGAATCATAGAACCTTAAGGTTGGAAGGGACCTCTAGAGATCATCTAGTCCAACCCCCTGCACACGCAGGGTCACCTAGAGCACGTGGCACAGGACTGCGTCCAAGCGGGTTTGAAGATCTCCAGAGAAGGAGACTCCACAACATCTCTGGGCAGCCTGTTCCAGGGCTCTGGCACCCTCACTGGGAAGAAATTTTTCCTTAAGTTCCTGTGGAACTTTTGGTGTTTCAGTTTGTGGCCATT